AGAGTATTTTTACCTTTGAATAATGAAATCAATATTAATTATTGATTCAACCTTTCTCAAACAAGTTCAAATAAATATGTCTTTTGAATTTCTTATTCATGATATTAAGAATCATTCTTTTAAATTTTATGATATTTTTAAATTCAAGTTCAAAAATAATCTAATCTATTTTGATAAAAAATATATATATATTCTAAAAGACAAAGTATAATTACATATTTTTTATTCTTGTCATGACTTTACAACAATCAAATATTTTAGATATAATAAGACTTTAGAGCTAATATTTAAATATTTTTAGTGTCTTCAAATGTAAATGCTAGTCAAAGACTTGTACAATCAAGTGACATTTATTTAAGATTAAAAACACTTCATCATTTACCTTGTGGAGTCCTTTGGCCATTACATATTTTGGAATAATCATGGTCTTTATTTCTATAGACTTTATTATCAATCTTCTAGTCTTAGGTTCTTAAGATTCTATATTTATAATAATAGATTATTTTACCATGATAGCATATTTTGTACTATGTACAAAATGTATCATAAGTGAAGAAATAACAAAGTTTTTTCTTGACAATATCTATTGCTATTATAGATTGTTCAAAGATATTATATTGGATAAGAAGATTTAATTTGTATGAAGATTTTTTTAAATTCTTTTTAATATTCTAAAAATAAATATAAAATTATCTCTAAATATTTATTTTAAATAAAATTGATAAATAGAATAAATAAATAAAGCTTTAGAATAACATTTGAGGTATATCATTAACTAGCAACAAGATGATTAGAAAAATCTTTTGATATTAATAGCATTGACTTATAATAATATAGTATATTTTTCTATTCAACAATCATATTTTTTTATTAATTATAATTATCATCTACAATTTGATGCCTTTGACTTTTCAAAAGTTGATAAACTTGCTGTAGAAGATTTGGCAAATCATTTATTTGAACTACATATAACAATAAAGGTATAACTAAAAGAAGCTCAAGAACAACAAATGATTAATGTAGATGCCTATTATAAGAAACAACTTCAATTTAATATTAACAACAAGGTATAATTACTTTTTATATAATATTCAGACTAATTGCCTTTATAATAAGATGGATTACCATAGGCTTGAACAATTTCCTATTTATAAACAAATCAATTCTATTTCTTATCAATTACATCTACTAGAATATATAAAAATCCATCTTATATTCTATGTGTCTCTTTTTTAACCATATAAGATAGTGAATATCTTGAAAATAAAACAAATGCCACATCTTCATGTAGAAGTGAATAATAATCAAAAGTTTGAGGTAGAAGAAGTCTTAGACTCAAGGTAGTCCTGAAATAAGTTAAAATATCTTATTTGTTGGTATAGATATAATATTAGTGATGGCACATGGGAGCCAACAAAGAATCTTGTAAATGTAGTAAATAAAGTTGGAGTTTTTCATTGACAACATCCATCAAAATCAAAATGAAGAATAAAAAATCTTTGCTATAAAAGAAATAAGTTTTTAAAAAGATAGCATTCTACTTTCTATCTTTGTCTATAGTTTTTATATATTTATAGCACTAAAAAGATAGAAAATCAACAACCAATAGATTTAATTTATGAATTATTATTTATTAACTTACTAGATGAAAAATTATAATTGTTCTAGCCTTTAAGATAATATTGGTGTAGTAATATAATTATATGGTAAAAAATAAAAATGTGGATGTTATCATAGAAGTACCTAATAAAAAGATGTAATAAAAAAAGAATAATAAATTATAGAAAGAAAAAAAAAAGAAAAAAAAAAAAAAAATAGTCTTAATGCTACCTATTATAAAAGAGACTTCTATTTACTTTGTAGAAGTATAAATGAACCAAATCAAAGAAAATAAGATAAAAAATTGATATAAGTATATTTTAAAAAGAATTAAATATAAATTAAAATAAATTTTATTTCAAATTACCAAAAATTGATACATGGAGAGGATTAGTTGTCAAATTGTATCAAAATCAAAACTTGAACCAAAAAATTACACATCTATGGCAATTCTAATGTTCATTTATAAATTAAAAAGAAGGATTTGAAAAAAAAATCAAAAAGTAATTTTTGAAAGTTTATTTCAAATCATTTGAATTAATATTGAAGACTTGAAGGATTTTCAAAATTAATAATATACTTGTTGGATTTAGATTTTAAAAAATAAAAGTATGTTTATAAATTTGAAGATTTTTTGAATTTTTTAGTATATTTTTAGATAAAATTTCGGCAATTTATTGTTGTACTTATTATAAATGTGTATGAAACATTTAAAGTGAATTGAGTAGTTAGATTGAAGTATATTAAGGTTTTTGTGTGTTATGATCTTAAAAATTTGAGATTTAGAATTAGTGAATGATTCCAAGATCTAGCAATATCTGCTAGTTGAATTAAAGCAAAATTTGGTGAGAGCAATTAAGACTTAAATATATACAAAAAAATCCAATTTTTGAAGTAATTGAACATTTCAGAAGAAAAAATTAATGTTGAAAGATCAACATTTAAGTTAGACAATGATGGCAACCAATAACGAAGAGGTTTTAGAAGCTTTGCTTGCTATTGATATGTACAATTTTCTTTAAATTTTTTTTGCTTGTTGCTTATTTACTTGTTGCAAGGTGTGCAAATTTCGAATCAAAATCAATGGTTTAATTATTAGTTATTAAATTTTTAATTTATTATAAGATTTTAAAGATTTATTTAAGATTTAAGAATTGATTAAGGATTAATTAGGATTGATTTAGGATCTAAGATTTAATTAAAATTTGACTAAAATTTGATTAGGATTTGTCTAGGATTTGTCTAAGATTTAAGAATTTATTAAGGTTTGTCCTAGGATTTGGTTAAGGTTCATAACGATTTTAATTAGGATTTCAATCAAGATTTTACCTAAAATTTGATCAAGTTTTATTAAGATTTTGATTAAGATTAAATTAGGATTTGATTAAGATTTATTTAGGATTTATTCTAAATTTTTATTTTTAATATTTTAAAAATATTATTATTATTTCTTTAAAAGTTTTTTTTTTATATTTCTTTAAAATTTCTTTGTTATTTTTTTTGAAATTAAATTATGACTTCTTTCTATTTCTTTTGTAACTTCTTTTAAATTTATTTTTAATTGGTTAAAGTTTGATTAAGATTATTAAGAATTACTTAAAGTTTATTTAAAATTCTATTAGACTTGGTAGGATTGTTGTTGCAATTCTACTTACCTTCCTTAACTAGGTATCCAGTGCATTCTCAAGTAAGAACACATATAATATGACAATGCTATAAAGATGAAGATCCTCGAGAACAATATGTTCTTCCTCTAATAGATGATAAGATACAACACATTTGATATCACAATTTTGAAAGAGAGTCTTGATGTTTGGTGATTTTATTAGAAGTAGGAATAACTTTTGATAGTATTCCAAATGTTTTATTTAAAGGGAGTTACAAAAGCTTCAACAATAATCAAATAATAAGATCTTTTTGCCTTCCTATAGAATACTATTGATTGCTGAGAGGACCTATCAACCACCTTCGAAGGAAACATAGATCTAAATATGTAGCAAACACAATCTGCCACATCTTGGACTTCCTCAACATATGAAGATAGCTCTTCATGGAACTCGTTTGTAGAAGGAAGGATAATGTTACATACATACTTATTTACCTAAATAATAAATACTAGATAGAAGATAAATGTAGGTAGATTTTATTTTATTTTGTGACAAAGCTTCTTCAAAGGTTTTATACATGCATATTTGACTTTATACATATTTATGGTTGATTGATAGTTTAAAAACTTAGCCAACAAGTCAATCATGTGTAGATAGCTTGTAGTACAAGCTAAAAGTATGGCGTGCATATAGAAAACTTGCCTTGCAAGTTAAGACATATATCTTACAAATTGAACACATCTTGGAGGATAGCTCTTAGTTAAATAATATATATGAAGGCAAGAGTGAAGCCTTCTTCACTCTTATCAATGCCTTCTAGTTTTAATCTTGTTTCAAGACTTTCTAGTCTTCTTGTTTTTGGCAATAGCTATTCTAGTTTAATATTATACCATCTTTGAGTGATTTTTTAATCATTTTGAGTGATACAAAAATTTATTGATCTTTTAGTTCTTTGAAATTTATATCCTTGATATATGCATAAGTTTATATCAACTCAACTACATAATATACAAAGTCTATGCAAGTTGATCTTTTGGTTTAAAATTAGAAGTACTCATGTTAATCATGAAAGTAATCATACCAATCATGAACATATTGAAAGAAAATAATAATAATAATAATAATAAGTGTGAGAATAGAAGTTATAATGACATTATATTTAAATATCTCATTTATCCAACACAACATGTTAAATTGTTCAAAGAATCAAGATATAAAACATGCACACTAAGTGAATTGTGATGTTCAGTGCACTTCACAAAGTACGTTGAAAAAGTACACAAAATTTTTGAGGTTTTTTACATCATACACATTGAAAATGTATTAGTGTTTTAAACTAATATAATAATAATAATAATAATAATAATATTTTTTATTGAAAATCATACTTTTGTGTATTTGACAAATACTCTTCAAATACTAATTACACATTAATATATTTTTTACTTGAAATCACCATAAATAAAATATATATATCTCAATAATAAACAAATAAATAAATAAAAACCTAGTATTCATGAAAATGAAATTTAACTCATTTTGCACAACAATTCACTCCGTATTTGGCACTATTTTCAAATGAAAAACAAATGACCCTTTTAGAAACTAAATAAATTTCCTGTACAAAAGTCAAGGCGTGTTGGCAAAGCCACGTCAACCATGAAAGTGATCCACGTCAACTATAAAAGCGATCCACGTCAGACACAGTCCATACCGCACGACACGTCACCGAACCTTATACCCGTTCACACCGCCGATCCCTTTCCCCAAAACCCTAGAAATTCACCGAGACTGGGTTTTCATGGTTGCCGCACTCAAAAATGAGCTATTTCCATTAGAATTTTGTTGCAATTGCGCGGCTCTGCACGAGAATTTTGTATCTGGAGCTGTCGCGGTCAATCGGAGGATCTGCAGCGTCCCCGCGATCAGTCGCGTGTGGCGAAATTTCCATGGTTCAGAAAGCAGGTATGTCCATTCCTGCGCATTTTTTTGCATTGTATTTCGGTGCATGTTGCTGATGCGCTTGTGTAATTTCGTGAGAGGGATTTTATGTCACGCGTGTTTGAGCATTAGTCCCGCTGAAGCTCCTCGATGCAGGTGTGTTAACGGCAGAAGGGCGAGAAGGTAGTTTGGTTGCGTCTGCTGGCTCATCTTGCCTTTTGCTTAAGATTGTGCTGATTTGGACAAGGGATCTTTGAAGCGTGGAATGAAGTTGAATCACTGTCCAATGTGTGTAATAGTGTTGTTTTGTGTGCAAATCCTTAAGTGAATTGAGCTATTATGGTTATCGATTTTGTACCGTGTGAAGAGGGCTGTCTCGATTGTGTACCGTGTGAAGAGGGCTGTCTCGATTGTGTTTGAATCTCAAGTTTATAATGTAGATGTTGGTGGACCTTGAGGAATTGTTTAATATTGATCTTGCGAGGACGTTTTTCGTCTAGAATCTTGTATTACCATAATCAGAATCATATGTGGACTGTTTTGATATGTGGATTTGATAATTTGGAATTAATTTTCATATTGAGACGTAGTTTTCAGCTTCATTGTTTCTCCGAGGATTTTTTTCTTTTTTCTTTTTTCTTTTTTTTTCTTTTTCCTGAGACGATAATCAGCTGTGAATTTTGTGACGTAAGCAAGTTCCAGGCATTGGTCTTTGATGTGAAGTTTAGTGTAGACGTTTAATTGTTAAGGAATGCTATTTTGAGTTTGTTGAATGGTTCAGTTGTGGCAGGGAAACGTCGGATGGTTTATGATGCGCTTCAGAGTCGGGACTCCGCGGAGGTAATATTTCATTGCTGTATCAGGGTCGATTTCAATGTCAAGTTAACGTCTCTGCTTGGCAAACTACCACACTTTTCCATATTCTTGATGGGATGATAGTCTTGCCTATGATTCGAATTTGGAAACGTCCGTGCTTGAAGTAAATTGAGTTTTTGAGATGCTTCTGATGCCGGTTACAAGAGTTTACTTGAAAAAGCATTATGTTGGGCAGTTGTGGAAGATGTCTTTCTGATGAATTGCATTCGAAAATGTGCACGCTCAGGATCTGACATGTGAGGGCAAGAGGGGGGAATCAGCAGAAAGCAGTAATTGGTTGGCCGGGGATGGATCAGTCGATAGTCATGGCCATTCTGCTGACAAGCGGAAGACAGGGGGTTGGAGAGCTGCCCCTCTCATATTTGGTAATTACCTACATTTAAATGATTTCAAATTTATAAGTTAAGAAAACTCAATGGGGAGAGGGGAAATCCTTTATCATCCTGAAAGCCAAACCGTGTAATTCAATCATTTAAAAACAGAATAAGTGGAAGGTATAATTACTTACTTCGCTCTGTTGAGTTTTTGGAACCAGCTTAGCTTCAGCTTCTTTCTTCCAGTGATGTATGGATCCTTACTTAAAGAATTATTTTACAACAGTGTGGTTGACTATTTAGACAAGTACCTTAGAAAAGTGCTAAAGTACTTGAGTGACAGGTACGGAATTATGTGAAAGACTAGCAACTTTGGGGTTGCAGCGAAACTTGGTCTTGTACCTCACCAAAGAAATGCACTTCAGCAATCCAGATTCTGCTGAGATGGTGTTGAATTTTGTGGGGGCTCTCTATCTTACCCCTTTCCTTGGGGGCTTTGCTGCCGATGCATACCTTGGACGCTTCTGGGCAATTACTGTATTTGCCACCATCCAAGTTGTTGTAAGTTATTTAGTGGCATGTCGGTTTGTTCCGGTGGAATGTGATTTATGTAGTCAGCATCACAGAATTGTATTTGGCTCCTATAATGTGGATGTGGTATGATTTTACTCTTACTTCAGATTGCTGAGTCTCTCATGACAAGTGACTTTTCACTCGGCCGCAGGGTATGGTATTCCTAACTCTGTCAGCAACTGTATCATCACTCCGACCTCCACCTTGTATTCCCAACTCTTCGAATCCATGTCAACCATCCCACGGTATACAACTTGGGGTATTGTATCTGGGCTTGTTTTTCTTTGCTGTTGGAAATGGAGGAATAAAGCCAAATGTGTCTACCCTTGGTGCTGACCAATTCGATGAGGGAGATCCAAATGAACGGAAACAAATGTCTCACTTCTTCAACTGGTTCTACTTCATCATTTCCATCGGCTCACTTTTGTCGGTTACACTTTTCGTTTACATTCAGGTATGTTGAATATTCAGGTACCTGGATGTTCACACTGTTACAAAGGCTTGAATAGATGGTAGTTTGGCCAAATTGATCTCTTTCCGGTGTGCTACAACCATGGAGGAGTATAATGGAGTAATGTTTGTGTGGATTTGATTCTTGTTACGTAATTCTAATGTTTTCAGAATTGAAATTGTGCGCAGTAAGTGTCGAAATACACTCACCTCTGACTGCTCTGGAAATATCAGGACAATGTGGGCTTTGGTTGGGGGTTCGGCATTCCGGCTGCAGTGATGATGGTTGCTGTCGTGGTTTTTCTTGCGGGTTCTAGAATTTACCGTTTCAAGCCCCCTGGTGGAAGTGCTTTAACCACCATAGCGCAGGTGGCAGTTGCAGCGACTCGTAAGCGAAGAGTTTGCTTAAGCCATGATAGGACTCTATACGAAGGCTCTTTTCAGGGAAGAGGGCCTGTGGAGAGACTCAATCACACCGATCAATTAGTGTAAGTGTTTCATCACTACCGTATTCGCAACGCCTCTATTAGTCTGCCTTCAAAGTCTTTATATTTGTGTCTTTCAACAGTAACTTTGCACCTGCTGTATACGACGAATGATTAAAGTATGATATTTTCAGATTCCTTGATCGAGCTGCAATCCCTGTGGGGATCAAAGATTCCAACTTCAGCTTCGCTAGTCCCTGGCAACTATGCACTGTGACAAAAGTTGAAGAAGTGAAGGCGATCCTGAAAGTGCTACCAATTTGGGCTAGTACTTTGCTAGTATGGACAGCCCTTTCACAGATGGAAACTTTCACAGTGGAGGTCGGTGCAGCCATGGATCGCCACGTCACGGCCAAGTTCTTATTCCCCTCAGCCTCTCTTGCTGTTTTTGAGCTTTTCAATATCATATTTATCCTCCCCATGTATGATAGGTTCTTCGTTCCTTTCGCGAGACGATTTTCAGGTCACCCCCAGGGTATTACTACACTACAAAGAATTGGGACGGGGATGATATTCTCAACTTTAGCCATGTTGGTGGCGGCCTTGGTGGAGACGAAGCGGGTTCAGGTGGCACGGGACAACGGACTTCTGGACCGACCTGAACTGACCATTCCCATGAGTATTTTTTGGTTGGTTCCTCAAAACTTCTTACGTGGGAGCACGGAGATCTTTACCCAGATCGGGCAACTGGAGTTTTTTTACCACGAGGCACCAGAGCGAATGCGAAGCTTGGGTTCTGCAATCTATTTGAGCACAATAGGATGTGGGTTCTTTTTGAGCAGTGCTCTTGTCACGGCCGTGAACAAGTTCACCCGAGATGGCGACGGTCCTGGTTGGCTTACGAATAACCTGAACAGAAGCAGGCTTAATTACTTTTACTTCCTCCTTGCTGCCCTCAGCTGTGCCAATTTTTTGTTATTTCTTGTTTGTTCGTCGTGGTACAAGTACAAGAAAGTGACTTCTCACAGTTACATCAGGATTGACGAGCCTAGTGAAGCGTAAGACCGTGGTCTTATATTTGCTCGCCATGTGGAGAACTTCGAGATGGTCCACAATACATCACCTGTTGAAGATCCGACTTGCTTCGTAAATACTAGCTCTGGAATGGGGGGGGATTGAGTATGCATTTTCGATGCATGCCACCTTTGGTTCAACATCAGCACCCTCAAATATGCTGGCAGCTCCTTACATGCATATTTGTGTTTTGCACTTATTCACACGATTGCCATGGCTACCATGGGCGTGATGTGAAGTTTCGGATGAACATCAAACCGTTGAGCCAAAGGTGTGTAAGGAGTAGGGTTGGCGATGCTCGACATATTCGCTGTTATAGATGACGTGTCCTTACGACACGAAGGAAGCAGGTTGGTCCTGTATTCCAACTGGACCAAGCTTGAATCGGGGTTGCCCAGATTTTTTTTCTACATTTACTGAACTGACAAGAACACTTCGACCTAGCTCTGAATTGCGACTAGCCTTCAGCATTGACATCATTCCTAAACCTGCCCGTTTTATAGTAGTATGAAATCATGCTGGATAAAACTGCGGCGCAAGATTTGGTAGAAAGCATCAATCTTTCGATTCTTAGGAGGGATTATCGTTTGAGTACATCTATGTTGTGACAGAGGATTACACCACATTGACTATCTATAAGTACAGGGCAATCTATGTAGATAAAACGCTGTTGTTGACAGAATATATTCTACAAAAATGTAGCTGGAAAAATGGCAAATTCGCTACAGATGCTGACAATACAGGAGCCCTGGGGAATTTCTTAGTATTGAGATTTTTTTCTACTTATGACAACCCCAAAGTTCATGATTTGGAACATGACAGCCACCATTGTGTACATGTTCAATTATGACCAAAGGTGTATCGTATCAAAGCGTGTAGGGCTACCATGTCTTTCTTTGTCATGCAGTTCATTCTTGGCTGACCCTAGCCCCTTTCTCAATGTGGCTAATCTCCTTCGCAGGGCCAGACTTGTAGGTATGTCCAGCCAGGTCGTGGATTTCGCATATCCGAAGTTGCATACCTTGAACCAGGTGTTGCACTTCCGCAATCTTTTCTTTGCTTCTTTCAGCCTCTCTTCGCGTGTCGAACATCCCATCCTTGAATGCCCTATTCGTCTTGTCCGCTCTCTCTATATTCCCCACCACTTCATCTAGTTTCGACGTTAACTTGTCTTTGGCACAGGACAGAGATGCAGACACCTCGGCAAGCTCTTGCCAGATCTTGGCAATTGAATTGACCATTCTCTCGAGCTTGCTTGAAGCCACACTGCTTTTAAATAACGCTCAAGTCTGAAGCCTGTGCCTCCTGGATTAGGGTTTCACGCCCATGCAACTGAACAAAGAGCAACTCTGCTTCTCGTTTTTTTCTTCTTTCACTTCATATGTCCATCGTGTGTAAAATGAAGTAGAATTCGTAAGGAGTTGGAGGTGTTTTACCTTCAGAGTTTTGCAGCAAGTTTCAGTGTTTCTTCCCATGCACTGCTGGAATTCAAGACCTTATTGAAAAATCGGTTGAATGCAGCTGGTGATATCTCATGAAAGATGAACACCAGTCCTTCAAAGTAGTTCAGTTAGGGTTGGGAACTAAGCATTACTCATTAGCTTTGTGGGTTGTAACTTATCATGTTGCATAGGTTTCGGTTTTATTTCATCATCAGAACTGGGTTTGTTTAATTGTCTTGCCTTGACCAACTTTGAGCTCACTATGTAGACAGAGCAATTTAGCACAAATGTAATATGTGATAAAAAATTTAAAAATCAGTCAAAAATAAAGATTGGGTTGGTGGACAACGAAGAACTAATAACACAACATATAAAAGTAATATATTTTGTATTAAATAATTATTTTGGGCAGTGTGTAGAATATTTTCTCAAACGACCAAGTCCATGTCTTACATTATCTATACTTTAAATGATTCAATTATGTGTGTATACTAACAATAATGCCACTTCCCTTCCCAATCAATTCTATTTTAAAGCAAATCATTCAAATTCAAGGTCACTTTTTAAATTAAATATATGTATATGTATTTATTTATTTATTTATTTTGTCAACACATTAATTTTAAAAAATTACAAATGTTGTGTGAATATTTTTGAATAAATAAATATTCTCAAATGCCCACCCAGTTTTATTTAACTCATAAGTTTTGGAGGTATTTAATCTTACTAATTTGTCCCAAGGATTAGAAGTTTTAATTTTAGTACAGTTTTTACAGTATAAATGTAAGTATCATGATTGAAAGCTTGATACACACTATCACAAATAGTAAAACAATGATAATAGTAGTAATGAATGATTTATTGTAGTGGTTGTTTGAAATAAGATTATTTTGTCATCGTAGTTTCCTTCTTTCTTGTGTTTTTAAATTTACAAGCCCATAAATTTAAAATAATAATAATAATAATAAGTCATAGGCTCAACAAAAATATGTTATAAGCTCTGTGATATTTGATTAACTTATGCCCAATTGTGATCTCAAATAACCAATAAAAAGTGTTGGACTTTTTTGTAATTGATTAATAATGTAAATTGTGTTTTGTTCCTTCTGTGTTGCTGAAAGAGGAATTACTGCAGCTACAACATGGTATCCTAATGTTGATACAAAATTAAAACATTCAAAGCTGTTTTTGGAAATTCTCTCAAAAATATGAATAGTTGACTGGCCTGTTTTGTGTGTCATTGAAACTGTTTGATTTTCAAAGAATTAATTCTAATATCAAACGGTACAGAATTTTTGAAACTGTCAGGTAACTGAGGTGGATCCAATATTTTATGTCATGTTTCACAAAACCCATACAAACATATTTAAAAATCAAGTGATATCATCAACTTCTAACATGCCTTTTTTTGTGAATCAAACAAAGTGCAAACTATCTTCAATGCATATGTCATCTAAAAAAAACCTGTGCATTGACCAACCCAATTATTAATTCTATTTGTAATTTTCAACAACACATTGGAATCATACGTCTTTTGGCATTTATGTCCAAGTCATGGGTTTGCATAAAAACGACATTCTTCATTTCAAAATATCATATTTGGTTCAACATCAAATTCCAAATCGTGATCCAATGTGCTGTATTTAAACATTATATTCCTTACCTTTTCAGGAGAGAAACCTGGACATTTCCTCTTCTCCTACTCAATACGCATAAATAAACCAAATAACAAAATGAAAAAGGTAAAAAGTTTTTAAAAAAAGACACACAAGCAAAGCCAAGAGCATAGAACTTGTACCCCATAAAAGGAATCGTTGATTTACACATGTACTTTTTCACACACAAGTAACACTCCCCATTACATTTTGGTTTTATATTTATTATCATTATTATTAAAAAAAAGAACTAATGCTTCTGACAACTTTTATATCTACACCATGACTATTAGACAAAAACAAGGTAGTACACTGGACATGTGTGATGAACCATCCACACCCTGTTCCAACTTTGCTTTAAATAAGGCAAATGAAAATAATAATAACAATTGTAGTAGTAATAATAAACTATTATTAAAAAACAATTATTTCAAAATTATGGACTTAATATAAAATATTATTTTGAAAAAAAGAAAAAAAAAAAAAAAAAGGAAAGAAAACTGCTACAGTGTTTCAGGCATCCTGGCTCAGCAGCAGCAACAACAACCGCAACAATTAATGGATGCTTTTGTTACTTGCTCTCCCACCCCACAAAAACAAAAACAAAAAAATTCATATATATATATATATATATATGACTTAATCCCAGAACCCTAATTCCACCACCCACATGCTACTTTTCCACCCAAAAATCCCACAAATGGGTCAATTAGGGCTCCCTACTCACATTGCTACATTGTGTAGTATAGTTACATTATGTCCACAACAAAGTGAGCAAAATTGACAATGAGATATATTTCCAAACAAACTGAAACCTGTTTGCATGTGATGGTGTGCACAAAAACTTCTACCCACACTTACATCATCATACAAGTCCCCCCCCTCCCTTTATTTTGTGTCTTATCATTTATTTTTAAACCACTACCTTTACACTACTTTTTCCAATACATTTAACTACTTTTAGAAACTTTTAACCATTTTTTGGGGGATAGATGTTTTTTTTTAAATGACAAAGTTGGGAGTAGTAATACAGTGGATAGGGTATTATCCTTCCTGCCTGCCTTGCTGCTGCAGAGCATGATGCCCCAGTTCCTGCACCATCATCATCAATATCACTCACTCACTCACTCACTCATACATTTACTCATTCATTCATTTAGGTTCACTTATTAATTCATTTGATTTATTCAGCTCCATGTGGGCATGTCATTTCATGCACCTGCCTGCCCGCCCGCTTAGAAAGAATGTCTCCATCTTCACGTGGGTTTTGTTACCACTGCCCAAGTTGCTGCCCTAGTTGCTGAGTCAGCCAGTCAGTACAACCCCTAAACTATCTTTTTCTTTTAGGGTTTAATCTTATTGTGCTCTGGCAGGTGTCAACATGGTGGGGCTGTCAGAGAAGATGCCTGCCACCACCCCCTTCAAAAAAAGTTATGTATCACAAAAAACAAAAAAAAAATATAAAACACAATGCCATTTAGTACTAGTTAAGTCATAACTATATATATATATATATATATATTCATATTTATACACATACATTTGAGAGTGTATGTGTATGTTTGTGTATATGTATATGAATGGGTGTGCATATTTATGTAGGTAAAGGCCAAGGAGAGTAGTGTGACAAAAAATGGGAGGTGGGGTGGGTTGGCACTTGTTTCAAGGATTGGCTTTGTTTTATTTGGCTACCCCACCAAAGGAGAGAGAGGGTGAGAGCGAGATAGTACTTCATGCTTATCACTTGAAAGTAAGTAAGCAAGCATAGCATAGCATTGTGTGTGTGTGTGCTTGCACGGCAGCAAGCTAACATCACTAAGACTATTCCTTTAAACAACAAGTTGTAGTAATAGTACTACTAATAATTCTCATAGTACTTCTAGTTGTGAACAACGTGTCAGTTGTTCTTAGTGATTGAATAAATGAACATTCAAAAAATATAGGTATATCTTGGTTATATTTTTTAAGTGTGTGAATATATATGTATGTATGTATGTATGTATAAATGCTTAAGAAATGTAATATACAAAGTTGGTAATTAAAGTTGTTAATTATAAATTACTTAAAGTTAAGTTAAGCTGATGTATGGAGTTTGATGATAGCTTATAGTTTGATTTTATTTTTTGAACATAAGTTACAAGTAACATTGAAGATGTCACACTGTAACATTTAATTTTTATGTTATGAGTAAATGAAAGGATTTTTTATTTGAAAAATACTTGAACAAGGTTGACAATGTGCTTATATTTGAAATTTTAAAAATTTGGAAATCAAAATGGGAATAGCTAATACAAGCATTGTCATGCAAAAGTTGCAAGATAGAATTAGAAATTTTAAATTTTAGATGCTATTAGCTACGACCTTGCTACAATATACAGAGTCATAATAATTTTGTGCTTCTAATTGATTATTTACAGAACCAATGTGTATATGTAGAATTTGAATTCATTAAAATAAAAGTTCACAATGTTAATAAAAAAACGTGAGATTATATTTTACCAAAACAATTTGAGGTTTAAAAATATATATTTTTTAAATCCTACATTAAATAAACTGATGTTTTATTTTAATCTTTATTGCACACTATTTCTTATTAAAACATCTTAGAGGAAAATTAGCATTGAACAAAGAAAAAATACTTTTAGAATTGTAACCAAATAAAATATAAAATTTGAAAGCACTCAATACAACAAAAAATGTAGGTACAAAAAATAAAAATAAAAATAAAAATATGAAGAAATGAATATGGTAATAATACAATCTAGTCCAATATATCATTTATTAGAAAAAAATATTACAATATTATTGTTCAAGTGATACTCATTCAATTTAAATACAATTATTTGAAAACTTGAAAGTATTTCATACTTGAATTAAAGACAAATCATATACATGTTTCATCTAAGTATAATATGCTTTAATATTAAAATAATAATAGTAGTAATAATAATTTCTAAAGGTTGATAAATACGTA